AGTGGAATTATAACAAGCTTAAAGAAGTATTGCTTTAAAATCATTCTATATACAGAACCTGGTTCAGTAAGAGGTTCACTTGAGTTGAAGCACATCTGTATGGAATTGAAGGTTAAGACTTGCAATTTTGTGATTAGATGTTGAGAATGATAAGGTTTTTGAATTGATCAAATTTACTCCGTCCAGGGCATAGAGGTAGAGTAAATTCAAGATGTTGATTATATTATTGGAGTGGGACAGACACTTCATTGTCAGCTTTTGGATGATTTTCTCCTTTTTCTTCCAGATAAGGAGAAGACAACAACAATAGTTACGGAAAGTTTGATAGCTCCCAAATCTATTTCTGTGTGAAATGTAGAACCTAAATGAGAGCTTTTCAGCACAAATCTCATTTTACCCAAGAGAAGTGCTGTTTGAAATCTAGTCCTAAGTTATTTTTACACCTTTAAAAAAAAAAGAGGAGGCTTTAAAAAGGATTTAAGAAAGCCTGTGTATTCTCTGGAGGTTTTTTATGAAACTATCAACAGGACATATAGTCTCACAGGACATGAGGAGATGCCATTCAGTAAACTAAAACAAAAAAAAATAGTAAACAATTCCTTTGTGGCCTGAAAGAGTTAATGTTAAGCTCTTAAGTGTTTCCTCCACTTACTAAATACTTTATAGGTTTGTTTGGCAGCTTAGAAATAGGTGGCTTTGAAAGAGCTTGTTAGCCTCTGAATATGAGGAACCAGATATAAAGAGATACTGCATAGTATAGCATCCATGTTAAATTGAATGTGTCAGTGAATAAGAGACTCTATTGCATAAACTGTACTATCTCAACCCTTTGTTCCTCTTTTTTTTTTTAAAGTTGCATGTTTTCACTAAGTTTAACTTTTGTAAGTTTGCTGACATGTTGCAGGGATCAGTCAGGTCTCTCAACAACAGCACCACCAACAACAATAATAATAATCATACCATTACATTTGTATGTCTTTTACTTTTCAATATTCATTTGATCATTTTTTTTCATTAACTTATTAAAGACCTAGAGTAAACACCACTCTTAGTTCAGAACCACAGAGTTATCTTCATGGCCATGTAGAATAGATGAAGTTCTAATTTTTATAGTGTTATTTGAAAGTTTAAAAGAGAACTTTGTAGAATGGAATTTACCTAAGAAAAATGGAGGGGCTGTATTGATCCTAGTAAATCAAGCTCTTTAAATTATCCAAGGAGGCAAGGAAAAAAAGTAAGTGTGATTAGGCAGCACTAAGATCTAAGAACAGTAACAATAATATGAGAACATTTTCAAGAAATTTATCTTAGATAAAGATTTTTCAATTTAGTAAGAGTTTTTTCATAGTAAATTCAATATTTGTAAAACCTCCATCACAGTTCCATATTTGCCCAGTTCTTTCCCTCTTTTGGCATATTCTAGTAGGACAGGAACTGTGACTTAAAACTAAGATTTCTATCTGTTCTAGGTGTATCTTTTTTTATTAACTTGGGCAGGTTAGAACATGTTATTTTTTCCAGTTCATTATTATTTTTAATAACAGTAACAAGTGGTTTTCACTGGATATAAAATTTAAATAGTGATAATATGCTGTAATCTCTTTTAAGATATTTGTCTGGTGAGAATCATTTAATGTAAGGTTTCTTTAGGAAATTTTGCCATGATGAATGATCCCAAAGAGCTTTAAAAACATGACTAATGACACTAAGCTGAGTTGTGGAAAAACTGCTTCTCATTAATGAATTTGTGCTGTATCATTCTCAGTAATTGTTGTGTCTTGGTTCAGAGCACAGTACAGTATCTAATATCGTGGCATGCTTATGAATCCCCACAAATGCTTTCTTTTCAAGTCCTAGTACATCACTTTTTTCCCTGCATTGATCAAAGGTTGGAAAACTTGTTTTATATGTGTAGCCAGGGTATTTCATAGCTGTCTTACATTCTTAATCTTTTGGCTATTTGGTTGAAATATATCCGCGCCTCTTAAATATTGAAAACATAATATCCTTTAAACTACAACTGCAGAGTTAAAATGAATTTTATGTGAAATATTCAGTTGTGGACCACATCTTCAGCTTTTATATGCCACAGTGGTCTTGTTTTTTCCTTTCCATTGTCTGATAGTGAGGTCATTTTCAGTCCTCTGAGAAATTCTATTCCCAGCCAGATGCGGCCCATATATTAAAAATAGCACCTGTGGCTAATATCACAGCAGCTTACCATAAATTTACATGGTAACTAGGATTATATCTGTCATGACTGCTAAAAAATGTCTAGATTTAATTTGATTTCCAGTATTGTAGAAGCTATCCAACATTTTGCTTCATAACTATATTTTAAAAGTTAAAAATCACTCCATTGTTAAGTTTTATAGCACTCCTAGTGCCCATTAAGTTGATTTGTTCAATGGAGGTCAGAGTAAAGCAACTTGGCTACATTAAGATCGGAAACCAACCCATTTGTGACAAATTTAGTCCTTGAGTGTGAATCTTCTCAACGTCTCTGCACTGATTGGATTCAGGTGTAGCTTATGTCAGTAGCATTTAACCTCAAAAGAATGAGCAACATGATTTGCTTGTTATAAATTATAAAGTATTTTGCATTTGCTTGTTTTAATGTAACTGTTGACTATGTTGACCTGTGCTTGACTGCTATACTCTGCCTGAAAGAACTGATTTTGAAGTCTAGGCTAGGCTGGTAGGTGCTCCCCCCCCTCCCCATTTATATGGTCCTTACAAAAATTGCTTCATTTCCCATTATCCTTTGAGTCATCTCCCACATGTTATGATTTGTGCACCTGCATAGTTATAAAATTATTTTGGGGTGTCATTTTATCATGTTATTCACTAACTTCCTAGCATTTATGAATATAATAAGTGATTCACTGTAAATCAAAATAATTTAACAGGGGTTGGATTATGAATTCCTACAGTATCTACCAGTTTGACATGTGTTGTTGCTAGAAGCTGGTAGTAAATTTCCATGCCATGAGAAAATTAATTCAGAATCCAGAAGTGAATTTGAAGTGCTAGCTCAAATACCTGGAAATTTAACATTTTTTTCAACATACATTATCGATTAACATGTTCTTTAATTTGTACTTTTAATTGACTTAACAACAATCTTATTTCTGAGTTAGGAAGTTGTAAGGTCAAGTTTTGGCATAGCAGTCAGGACATATTACAGCTGCCTCGAACTAGATCTATTAAGTGTGTGTTACCTTCTTTTTAGGTAGGTACACAAAAAGGGAGGCAAGTTCTTTCCTGTTGATTTTTCAAATGGAAGTTTAAAAGATCCTTTTAACATCCCTAAGGAAGAATAATAATAGCAAAAACACAAGGGGATATGTGTCCATTAGTACATACACTTAATGGTGGTAACAGTGGTCATAATGATTTGAAATGGAAGAAATATTAAATTGATATTGTAGATTCTGTGTATCTAGTATTGTCAGATAATAATGAACCTCATACTATTGGAAGTTAAAGAATATTGTTAATGACAAATTCAAAGTCTAATAAAACAATACTGTCTTATACTTTAACATAAAGATCTTATACTATTGACCAGTAATGAATTTAGCTATTTCTATCTCTACTTGCTTACTAGTGATATAAGAACTAGGTGAGTGAGATGTATGTTGAGCTTCTTGAAGGAAATGCACACAGGGGATACTAGATATCCTTTGATTTCAGTAACTTCTTGGAGGTCTTTGATGGAGAATGATGTATAATATATCTCTGGACTCTAGTCTTGCAACAGCATCAAGAGATACAATGTTGGGGGAATTTAAGCTCTCTGAAAAATATTTGAGTCCTTTGATTTCTCTATAAGAAAAATGGTCAAACTTCTTTAACAGGTTTCCTTTGAAAGTTAAACATGGTTAGGACTTTCCTGAAAATGGTATAACAGTGTTTTTCTCTAAATTTCCCAGTGTAGTTACAGACAAATGAAGAATCGTGGATTCAAGGAAATACTTTCAAAAAGGAAAAGGAATTATGTGGTTGCTTCTGTTCTTCACTACATAGATTTATTCTGGATCTAAGTTAGATTACAAAAAGGCCCAGAATTGATCTCTTGTGAAGTCAGCATTTGTAAATACAACTATTAGAGTGATGCATTTGTCAATATGTAACTATAACTTGTCTTAGAAAATCTGTTAGTTTTCAGAGAGTGGCAGAGTTTTCTGTATTTCTCTTCAGCTCAGAACTGAAATGCTTAAATAATACTTGGAGTGAAACACAAAACAGATTGCTATTTTGAACTACTAATGGTATATTAACTTGAGTTTTATATATGTATATATAGACAAGGTTATATGATTTGGGCCTTTTGGAATAACATCATCCTATCTAAAGGAAAGCAAAAAACATTAGACCTTATTTTAAATTATTGAATTAGTCAACTTGATTTGAACTTGGGATAATTATTTTTCCATTTTTAATGTTTGAGTGAATTTCAACCTTTTAAAGCATCTAGGCCTATATTATGAGGAAGAATAAAACTATTCATCTGCAGATTTTGGTTGCCATGTTTCTTAGATTCACTTTTGGATGAGCATGATATGCCAATTTCAAAAGAATTGTGACTCTTTTTTCTAAAATAATAGGTACATGACTTTCTCTTTATCTGGTTGGATGAATAAATAATTTTAAAGGTAAATTGCTTTGAAAAAGAATAAAAAACCCCACACAATTGCCTTCTAATAATTTTTTTCACAGCAACAAAACTATGTCCTAAATATTTTTCTGATATGATATTTTATGTCTATAATTAAGAATGGACTGCCTGGTAAAAGTTGGGAGAAAGAAAAGGAAAAGATTACAATGGACCTATTTAAAAATTAACCATTACTTGCCAAAAGCCCATCAGAGCCATATAGCGGACATCCGTTAATCCAGTGGTTAGCTGTTTCAGGCTTTAATGCACACTGTTTTACACGTTAACGGGTTTGAAGTTCCAGGCCAGAGCTGACCTTTCACATCTGCTCCTTTCACAGTAGGAATCTCCACTTACTGCATCCTGTCAGAATGGATTAGAGTGACAAAGCACAGGACTCACTTTGGCTGCAATTTAGTTTTTGATCAGAATTATTTCTTTCACAAACAATCACATTTGCTAAAATGTTACATCTGCTATGAAAACCACTGGCAGTTCCTCAGTTTATCAGTATGATGTGAGTATAATTTTTCATTTGTTTTTCATAAAATGGCAAACCAGCTTATGTTTTTTTGTGATGTATGTGTGTATACGTGTATGTTGGTTTCTGCCTTTCATTTTTTGAGCTTGGAAGGAAATTTGCTTATATCTTTAAATTAACATGAAGCTGACTGAAGACTTTTGGAGATTTGAGTGAAATTGTTTTTGTTGTAGAACACAATTGTTCATTTGGGAGCCAAGACTCTAATATTATTTCCAAAAATTATTAGTGGTGGTTCAATGTTTTCTAACACAAGGAAATGTTTTTGCTTTCTGGGTGTGTGTATAGTTTTCATTTGGTGAACTGGAATCTTTGTATTTCCATTTTACCCCACTGTCCTGTCTAATGATGTAAACATCTCTCTCTTTATCCTGTTGCACATCACCAGAGCCATTGCTATGTCTTGAGATATTTGGGTTATAGAAAGCTTTGGAAGCTTAGTCTCTTACTTCCTTTGAAAAGGAATTGCTCTATCAAATGGCAACAGAAGATAGAAATTTATTGAAATATCTCTTTAGTGAGAAACTGTAATATGGCATACTGGATAGAAGGCTGGCCTTTGATGCATGCTGGCTGAGTGACTATGGACACTTTCTTTAACCGTAGGCAACTCTTTAAGTTGATAAGTTAGAGGTACATAGATAACCAGCATTTGTATAGGCAGTTTCTACTCTGAGAGTTCCATATACTGATGGACTCATAGACTATGTCTCCTTAGGGGCAGGTAAGTGGCACAGTGCATAGAGAGCCAGGCCTGGAGCCAGGAAAACCTGAGTTCAAATCTGGCCTCAGACACTTACTAGCTGTGTGACCCTGGGCAAGTCACTTAACCCTGTTTGCCTCTGTTTCCTCATATGTAAAATGAGCTGGAGAAGGAAATGGCAAACCATTCCAGTATCTTTGTCAAGAAAAACCCCAAATGAGGTCACAGAGAGTCAGATATGATTGAGAAAACTGAGAGCAACAACATCTCCTTAGCATACAGAATACATTTTATTTCCTGGTCCGTAAGCAAAGACTGGATTACTATTTGTCAGGCATAATGGTCAAAGGGATTCTTTTTCAAGAAACAGTTGTACTTGATGGATATTGAGGTCCCTTTCAACTATAGAATACCTTCTATAATCATTCTTCCTCCATTCATGGCATAGAGTCTGTGCTGGGTGCTCAGAGGCTGTGCCCACAAAAAGTGAGCTCTGACAGGAGAGGGTGAGTAACCCTCAGTTTGAAGAGACTTGTTCATCTCTAATGGATTGGCCGTCAGGGGTACATTTTTTCTGTCTTTCAGATAGATAAACTAGCAGAATTAGAATCAGGCCTAGAAAATGTCTTGCCCAAAGTCATACAAAATATTTATCCTTTCTAAGAAAAGACATTGTGAGACATGCCATAAATTTGGTCAACCCCAGGGAAATTGTACCATACTAGAGACTGAGTATATGTTCTGTTCCTAATGCTAAACAAATTAAGTTTGCTCTTTACTATTGACAGAATATTCCAGGTTCAGGTCAGTACTGAGGTCATTCTGAATGAACTAAATCATCATTGCTGCTACCCTAGAGCATGTACCTACGAGATTTTAAGCTGTATCTACACAAGGTGGATTTTGCCAGGGGGGGATATAGGTTTTGTATAAGATTTTGATAGCATCTCCATGTCATTCCATAAGATTTAGCGTCCTACACAAAATTCCCCAGAGCTGCTATAGAATCTGGATACATCTGAATCTGCAGTATAATAGAAAGAGAAAGAGAAACATTTTGTTAGTGAAGCCTCTCCTTGGGATCGGTACCTTGTAGTAGAGCTTTGCCATGGTAGAATCTCAGGCGGGCAGGGCTAAGAAATAAGAAGAAAACCCCAGAAGATGTTTGAATTGATTTGTGCTTTGAAATACTTGTGATAGCACCTTACATTGCAGAGAGTGACTAGATCTTTCACAGTCATGTAAAAGAGGTAGGCTAGACGGGTGGTATGTTCTGTGACAGCAAGGTAGGAAAACTGAAGTACAGAGAGGGTAAATGATTGGCTTGTGGTTACGTTCCCAGATGTTGGCATAGCCAGGACTAGAAAGAAACTGAGTCTTGATTTTCTAGTTCAGTGAATGTCCCATTGCACTATGTTGCTAGTCCTATACATGTAAGCATGCTCTTTGAGGCTTTTATTACAGTATTTCTAATGTTTTTCTTTGGTGGCTAGAACATTTATTTTAACTGGTCCAATTATCATTGTTCTTTGCACAGCAGAGTTTATTATTTTAAGTGACTGATTGCTTTAACAGGTGCTCAACAAGTGAGGGCTTCGTTGTATTATTTAATGTTTTGGTTGGATGAAAAAATGCATTAAAAAAAATAAAACCAGGATTTTTGTTTGATGCAGCACTTCTAAGTTACACCATTTTCATTGCCGTTTTTATCCATGAAACTCTTTACTAGAATGTGTTGGGTTAAAGTAATCAGAGTGCTGTAAGAGGGAAAACCTTCCATTCTTACAAATTTTTTGTTCTTTTGCTTAATTGAACAATCACGTAAAAGCTACTGAAACAGAAATAAGAGTTTTGGATGGTTCATTACCTTTTAGAAGAAGAAAGCCAATGATAAGATTACAGTTCTATATTAGGAATTATTGCCATTTTAAAAAATTCCCTGGGTTTTTCCTAGGCATATAACCTTCTGCTCATCTAGTAGATGAGAATTGATGTTCAGAATGAAAACCTTGAGGTACTGTATAATTCTCAATCAGTAAAGTAAGTTATTTCATTTGAACAATGAAGGAAAGATTTTTGTTGATGGATTTTTAGAAAGATTTCCAGTGATAAAGTTTGAAACAGAGTTATTTAATCCTCAGTTAACCAGAATATTTAGTTAACTAGGACTGCCTTAGTCTTAGGGCATTTCACTTCACTGAGATTTTACTGAACTTACTTTCTTCTTTGGGGGACTATATATCATGATTGAAAAAGTACAGGGTATTATTTAGAAATGAAGGTAATATGAAAAACAAAAGATAGTAATACATATTTAAAGGAAAAAGTATAGGGTAGATACATGGTAACTCAAAAACATGTATTAGTAGAACAGGCATCTTTCCCTTCATTTAAAAAGAAAAAAAAGTTTTCTTGTCGATTGATATAGTTTGTCTACCAAGGGAGCTAGATATTTATTTCATAATAATCTTTTGATGAATTCTTTTGTAAAGTGAATGACAACAAACTAATTCCTTTTTTTGGTAGGTCTTAAGTTTTTATATCTTAGGTTTGCTGAAGGTAGGATATTCCTCTTGTGTGATCCAAGTTAATAAATCAGATGAAGTTGAATGATTCAGAGAAGGTCAATGCTTAGTGACAAATACTTGACAGATGATGTTGCTATTTAATGGAAAAAGGTGTGTCGTTAGATGGCTCTACCCATGATGCTTAGTGTAACATATGATGATGTAAGCTCTCTTGACTTTAAAGCAGCATAAGTTGATTTTGATTTTGGTTCTAGAAATCTGAGAACTTGTTTGAGGTGGATAGAATGTATTGAAATAAATTTGCAACTTAGGTCTCGCTCTGAACAGAAAAGATTTTTAGGAAAAAGAGTACTCCACCCCAATCCCAAACTTATTCACATTAACAGTTTGGAAATTCACTAGATTTTATTGCAGATTCTTATAGGATTTCAGCATGAGTCTTTTACTTAGGGATAATATATTATTGAGTATAAACTTCAAAATCTTATTTTTATGTTAGTTCCCTGCTTTTTGAAAAAAGATGCTTCATAATGCATTTTTATACAATTCAATTTCTAAAATTAAAAAAAAAACCTATCAGCTTGTGACAGAAATATGAACATTTACTTCTGAGATTCCTGTGCAGATCCCTTGTAAGAGACAGAAGGACTGCTGGTAATGTTGACCTTGGTTTTGCTCATTCAGGAAGAGTCATTGGAGCTGTGTGAGGATATTGCAGTAGACTTCAAAGTGGACAGTCCTGGGTAACAGATGTCTCTTGTTGGAGATCTGTGCCAGGTACCCCCTCACATTCATTAAGTTGTGATTTAGTAATCCTGCTCTTTTCAGGGTAGAAATCTTACTTATTTTACACAGGTCTTTATGGGTAAAATAATTAGATATATTTGCCTGTGTAAGCAAACTGATAAATATGTAATAAAGTGTATCAGACCATTTACTTGGCAGGGACAGAACAGCTTGTGAAAGCAAAGCAGTTTCCAATGGAGCATGCAGAGCTTTGAAAATTCTCAGCCATAGCAGAAAGTAGTATTTCAAATCACCCTTAAACAATTGTTTGTTTTCTTGTTCCCAACCAAGTTTATAAAAATTTAGTCAGACAAGCATTTTGTTTTGATTTGGAATGTTTTTAGTGAATTGTTATCTGCTGAATGAACATATGGTCCTAAGCTTTCTTCTTACTATGATTTATTTATTTATTTGAAAGCTGGATCCTGGAAGTACAGGGGCTTCTCACAGACCCAGTCCCGTTATTGGTTTGCACAGGAAGAGTTACTTGCTCTGTTTCTGACCTGTGCTTGTTTGCCCCTCCTTAGGTGGTCAGGTGGCCCACCTCCTCCTCCTGGGGGCTCACTCTGTTGATGCCAAACTTGGTGTGGCCTTGCGATCCCCGTGGTCCTCTGCAGTTCAGACCTCCTGAGCTTGAGAGCCTTGCCAGTGTCAGCCTCCCTGCAGCTGGGGTTACAGGTGTGGGCCACCACTGGCAGGCAGACACTCTTGTAACTTTAAAACCTTCTCTTAGTTCCCCTTAAAAGGCCCTGGCCCCCCTCCTTCCCCCCATGTTTTCTGTATTTGAATAGGATAAAGAGATTTAGTACAGAAGCTTAAGTGCCTACTGTGTGCAAGGCACTGGGAATAATAAAAGGACAACGGTCTATCTGGAGCAACACTGCATGTAGGCAAGGAAGTAGATACAAAGTAATTTCAAGAGGCTAAGGGTGCTAATAACTGTGAGGTAGAAGATGGTT